ATGAGACTGTAAATTTCTCAGTTTACTAGAGACAACAATATGTTACTTGAGCATTGAAGTGTCGTTACTGAGAGCAAGGCGATAGAGGTGTTGCAAGTCCAAGTGCAGTGTTGCTTCAAGTCTAGGTAAGATAGTAACTGTGCATCGAACGATGCGATCTTAGTAAAAGCAGACTTTGAGATCAAGGCGCAATTCCCATCAGTAGGGTTCCTAATACAAAAAATCCCTAGTGAGAGCAAGTACAGCTAGGGGCGATGACGAAATCAAGGCCGGGCGCATTCCGAGCGGAACGAAGCAAACGCGCTAACCACATTGCTTGGCGGTCGCGACTTTGGAGTCAATTCCATTCACCGCAGCAGTCGCGACGACACTAATCGGACAACTACCATCAGCATCATTCCACCCCGTTCCATCTTCTTGGAGCTGCGCGCATGTTCCAAAGAACATACCCTCTTGCGCCTCCGCAGTAAAAAGAAATCACACACGAAACCATGGCCTCACCACCGCACATCCCTCAGCTCAACATGTCCAGCAACCGCAAGCGTGGCAGCATATCTTCGCACTCGGGCGCACCAGCAAAGAAGCGCAAGCCTTCGAATCTACGCAATGCCTTCTCTCCCGATGCCGAATCTATCGGGGGCTCGCCACGCCAATACTCGCGTTCACCATCGGTAGAAAGCAACATCACAACTTCCGTTATCAATGGTGTTGGAGGCAGCAAGAAGCGCCGTAAGAAGGGCGGCGATGGCGGAAGTGTCGCGGGGTCGAGTGTAAGAGGAGGCAAAAGCGGCGATGGAAGGAGTGCAGTGGGAGGTGAAGATGAAGGAGAGGAAGAAGATGACGATGAAGACGAGATGGGTGAGGAGATGGGCATGGAGATTGAAGGTGGAATGAGTGTCGAAGCACGACGCAAACAAGAAAAAGAATACGAACGGTACGTTTTCTTCATCGAAATCCCATCCACCGCACATTTCTTTTCAACTAACACCATGCCACTTCAGAATGCTAGAAGACTTCATGACGCCCGCGCAAATGGACCGCTACGCAACCTACCGCCGTATCCGCCTCAAGCGCGAAACCGTCCGCAAACTGGTCAACCAAACCCTCTCGCAATCCGTGCCCCAACCCATCATCATCGCCGTGACCTCGTACTCCAAAACCTTCATCGGCGAGCTCATCGACCGCGCCCTTACCGTCCGCGACGAATGGTCCGCCGTACGCACTCACCTGCCCAACCCAGACTTACCGGGCCCCATCCTAAGCCAGAGTCTAGGCAGGCCGAGCGCACATATCAAAGATGAGCGTAACAAGCCGACGAATACGGATATTCAAAGTGCAGGGTGGTACTTGAACCAGGTTGATCGTACGCAGGGTATATGGAAGGAGGTGGATAAGAATGCTAGTTTACAGGAGCGATTGCGCGCTTGTGACAAGGGGCCGTTGACGCCTGCGCACTTGAGAGAGGCACTCCGGCGATACAAGAGGGATAGGGATGGTGGTGGTGCGGGCTTTGCGGGTATGAGTCTGGAGGGTGTGGAAAGGACAATGGGCAGGACGGGTGGGAAGAGACTCTTCAAGTGAAAAAGCTACAAAGGGAAACTCTTTGTTACGTGCATAGCGATGGCGTTTTGGGGATACATCATTATATACGTATGGCGTTGGCATCACAAATGTACATTATGTTAGCAACATGGTTTTATTGCTAACCACAACAACTCTCGAAACATTTGCATACAATATTTGCATACTGCAAAGTGTGAGCTACCCCGCAGGAAAATTACATAGGGACGACATAAGGCCAGACAGGCCCGAAGAATATGAACAACAAGATAAACCACAGACGTTCAGGCATAGAGTCATCACACAGTCTTGAACAATTGCATAAAGACATTATTCAGCCAAACATGGAAGCAACCTTTTCATGAGGTATTTTGTGAAGAGCTACATTTGTCATAGCCATTCATCATTCCAGTCCATCCCAGCCGAAGAGAGAACACCTTAGGAAATCATAACGCTAACCAACAACCATCTAGTTATCCTGGAGCAGCTCGTAGAAGGTATCGGCGGCAGGCTCGGCCTTGCCAGCCTCGATCTTCTTCTGGCCAAGCTTCTCCTTGGCGAAGGTAGCAGCGTAAGGGTTGAGGCGGAGCTGCACCTGGAAGTTCTTGAGAGGGTTCTTCTTCTGGGTGTGGCTGCGCTTAGTAACGGCTCCGCCACGGACGGGGCGGAGGACCTTCTGGATGTCGCTGGAGTTGATGATCTTGCTGAGGTCGGGCTGGACCATCATGGGGGATGGGAGAAGGAAGTCCTTCTTGAGCGCTGAGGGCTCAGTGGTGGATCCGTAGACCTTGTCGAGGGCGCTGAAAGCGGAAGAGGTCCAGACAATGAAGCGGCCAAGGTGACCACCGGGGGCGAGCTGGAGGAGGTTCAGGGAGTAGACAGATGAGGTCTCAACACCTGGGATGTTGCGGAAAGCAAGGACAAGCTCCTTGCCATCCTCATCAGGGTTGTAGATGACAAGAGGTCCACGGCGCTGCTTGTGGCGGCGACCACGGAGCTTACCCTTACCAGCGCGGAGCTTGCGCGAGTTGCGGGCCTTCTCAACATCAGCACCAGCACCGACGGCCTTGAGGAGAGCGACGGCAGCGGAGGTCTTCTTGATGGCGGCATCGGCGAAAGCAGTCGATGAGACGACGAGAGGAACCTCGGGGACGGTGCTGATAGCGTGGCCACGGGCAAGGAGAAGAGCAGGGCTTCCTGAAGCAGCGAGCGCAGAGGCGGTAGCGAAGCGCTTCTGGTTCAGGTTGATCTTCTGGTGCCACTTGCGCCAGACCTTGGTAGGAGCAAACATGCGGCCGGAGCGGCACATGTTACCGAAAGCAGCCTGACCAGCACGGTGAGTACCACCACCAGAGACACGGGGGATACGGGCAACAGCGCGACCAGTACCCCAGGACTCGGCAGAAGTTTGGTGACCAGCCTTCTCAGAGCTGCGTGTTGTTAGATCAGTCAACGGTGCAGCTTGCGAGGAAGGCTTACACAGCGTAGGGCTGGCGGCGGTTCTTGTTCATGCCAGTGTGCACCGCGTGGACGACATCCGGGCGGATTGGGGCCTGTCAATCGTCAGAACTGAATATATTGATTAAGTGCACGATACTGTATGCTCCCAATGCAACACCAGAGCAGACCGAGAGAGCGCCATATTGATTGCGGAACCCAGAAGTTTTCGTCATGGCGCCGCAAGTACCCCATGAATGATCCAGCTCATTATATGCATGGAGTTTCCAGCCGACTTTCCAATCTTGCAAATCTCCCGTTTATACGCATTCATTGTAGCTTCTCTCTCGATCTGTCCGTCGGGTTGCCGGTTGCATCGTATCGCGGATGTCGAAGTGCGACGGTGGAACTGACCTTGAAGACATTGGGGACGGGGATGGTGTCCTGGGTGACCTCGCCCTTGGCAGAGACGACGGTGACGGTTGGCCTCGACATGGTGGCTGTTGGGAATTGACCTGGGTGGTTAGTTGTCGCGAAAAGAGAAGTCGTCGTCGGATTTTTGCGATGTTCTGAAGCGAGCGAATTTCGAGTGGGCGCGCTATGCCGCATTGGGACTTGGCGGCTTTTGAGTGGTTAGCGCTGCACTCATGTTCACCTGTGTTCGCCTGAGGCGAGACTGAACATCTCATGTGACGGGAGCGGTGATTTCGCAGGATTGTCTGCATAATCTTGTAATTATCTTGAGACGATGCACTATGGACGTGTATGCGCAGAGCTATCTAATCTTAGTCTGCTGTAGCAGAACAGGTCTCCACGAGCAGCTAGGCCTGACTACATGCGACGGTTGTCCTCATATGTAAGTAGTAAACAAGGTAAAGAAGCCTCCATTGTGACACCCTGGATCATTCTAGCCTCCCGAGATTTTCAGACACGTCTTGGATTCGGAACGATCGTCCTGCCCTCGCCGGGTACTCTATGCATCTCCTTTAAAGTGGGTGAAATAAGCCATGCAAAATAGTAGGGATAGACCCAACAGTGTCTTTGGCAGCTCTTATTGCCATGACGACACTCGGGATAAGATCGATATCCTTGCAGATAACGTGTACAATACTTTAGACAGTGCTTATAGCAGCACTTGCCAGGGGGCAAGAGATGATTCGATAGTGTCTTGAATAGTGACTGCCCTATGCTCGGTCTTTGACCATAGCGCAAAAACAAAAGAAAAAGCGTGGGTAGCTAGCGACGGTGATCTAGGGAACCATGCAGAGCAGCTAACAACAGCGTGTGTTGTGGTATTAAAACACGTGTTTGGCAGGCGGACCGTTAGTTGCTTGATGGGGGAGGTGAAGGATGTCATGCTGACTGTAGTTTCAATCCCTACTAGATAAAACTTGTCATCAACTAATTTTCGAGAAGCGTGTTCATGATAAAGTATAATGATGATATGGAAAGCATAACAATATGGAATGGGGGCCGGCCGGGAGTGGGCTGGTCCGTTAGTGGCTCGACGGGATATTTGTACGGAACATGGGAGAGTGAACACTGTGGATGAGCCGGGTGGATTGAAGGGAAAGCGAATATCGAATGGGCACGTGCCATTTTGTGAGGCAAGTCGATGGATCGCCACAGGGGTACACGAATCGCATTCGCGTTGGCAACTGAAACACACGTGGTGCAGGAGGACGGGATGGGGTTCAGGGAGCAGCGGAGGATGGGCGGGCTCGGGTCCGTGTATGTGGGAAGGCCAAAGAAAAAAGAAAAGAAAAGAGAGATGCGGGCGTGGCCAAAGGGTGTGAGTGCAAGTCAGCAGGCAACGTGTTGAAGAAACTCGCAAACTTGTCGTGATTGAGTTTGGGCGCTGGCAGGTTGTCTGGCTTCCGAAACCAAAGGGATGCAGGTGAAACCAGCAGTGGTGCTCACATGACCCAGAGGCAAATGACGCGGTGCGCTGCCGCCCTCTCACCCCGCCAACAGGTGGGTCGACGGGTATGCCATGTTGCGTTTCACGTCAGAGATGTCTGGTCCGACTGTTTTGCGTGCCTCGGTGCGGTGCGGTACAGTGCGGTGCGGCGAGGTGAGGCGAGGTCCAGTGGGAGGCGCGGCAAGGCGACGGCGACGGCGAGCGCTTCAAGTCGATGGCAGGCCGAGGGGCGGGCGAGGACAGAGAGAGCTGTCAGCGGTGGCTGCACCGGCGACAGGACGGCACAGGCCCTCCAGCCTCGTTCCAAGGTTTGTCGTCTGGGCCTGCCCGCCGCTGGAGATGGGGGGGTTCCAGGGGGAGATGCTGGGCGACGTCGTCCCAGCTGGGCAGACTGGCCGGGGGTTCGCCAGCGGCCAGCCGTGCGGCCAGTGGTGGTGCAGAGGGACGACAGCCAATGGGAGCGGGCTGGAGGCTCAGGGCCGGTGGCTGATGGCAAAAGGGCAGTTGGAGGACAGAGAGCAGTGGACAGTGGACAGTGGACAGTGGGCCGCGAGGGCAGAGGCCAGTGGGCGTGAACGAGTTCGCACCGCCCAAACTGCTCGGCGGGCGCGGTGGACTGGCCTGGACAGGACAGGACAGGACAGGACAGGACAGCAACAGGACAGCGACGAGGCAGTCATGGCCCAGTAAGGCGGCGTTGGCTGCGTGGGAGGCGGGCAGGCTATGGCGTGCTAGTGGTCGCAGCTGCCTCGTAGCGCACGGCTGGCGGTTGCTATTTTGGACGTCGGCGCTTGCACACAGCAGCCACGCCTAGCGTCCCTGCCCTGGCTCCTCTCTCCCCCATGGACAGTGAGCGACGCATTCACGCCGCCTCAACACTCGACCATCGCCTGCTCGCCTGCCCGTCTCCCCCTCTCCCCTCTCCTCCCCCAAACACCAGGCGGCAGCGGCTCTGCCACGACCGGCTTCCATCGTCCCCTCCCAAGCTGGTCACCACACCCTGCACAAGTCTCCGCATCTGAGCCCGTCGCTCGCCCTCTGTGCGTTTGTGTGTGTCGCAGTGTACAATTCGTGGCCCTCTCTCGCAAACACCACCCACGCCCGCCTCGACGACCCGTACCCGCGCCATCACTCGACTTTTTCTGCCTCTCCGCGCCGCTTTCTCCCAGGCATAGGCGCATCGCCGGCCCAGTCGCTCCTTCCCTCAGGCGCTTAGTCGAGGATCTGGTATTCTCGCTCCCATTCACCACCACCACTGCCACTACTGCCACTACTGCCACCACTGCCGTCGCCGCTGGCTACTAGGTAAGCTGCGTCTTCTCTTGTCCCCATCACCCCTGTACCCTACGCCCTCGCTCTCACCCCCTGCTACGCCCTCTCTGAGCCTGTCTCGACCACTATGCGTGTCTGAGCCTGGCATTGTCTACCTACGGGCAACCGTCACCTGGCGACTACTGCCTGCTGCTTGCTCGACTATACCCACCCTCTCTTCCGCACTTGACTCTGTCTCAAACCCGGACACACCGTTTTCAACCTACACCTCCCTCTCCCTCTCCCTCTCCCCCATTGCATACTTCACGTTTCGAAACACATGCGCTTGTCATGTCTACCCTACCCACATCACCACATGGCGCTGACAGTGCGGCGTTGAAAAGGCCTTTCTCTACACCTAATTCTTCTTTCTCTTCCAACTCTCTTGAGCAGTCCCTTGCGACTTGCTCCAAATTACCCTCCATCTTACCTCCAGCTCCTCGTTGGCCTCGACGCGCGCGCTGCCCACCTCCCGCAACCCAGACGACACTTCCCGGATTCACTATGGTGCAGACTAGCTCGCGATCGTTTATGCCCATGCCCTCGTTCGGCGCTGTATTCGGGGGAGAACACCACAACAAGGGCCATGCAGACGGGAATGGCGTTAATCTAGTGCGGCCAGCAACAAGCCCAACCACATCCTCGAGCGCGCCATTCTCCTCGTTTCACATTCACACCGAAAGCCGGGAAAGCAACTCGACAACCTCGTCCGACAACTCGCCCACCACTACCATCTCAACCATGGATTCGTCGTCTGTGACCGACCCGTCTCCGGGCGTGTCGCCCGAATCGCCTCTTGGAAGAACACTCGCCCCTTCGTCATGTGTCGCTGATTTCAGGTCAAGAAGGACAGAACAGCCGTCTGGAGACTCAAGTACATTTTTCGAGCTACAACGCCCAACAACGCCTGCGAAGAAACCACGGAATCTCAAAAACCTCGGCATCAACACGGCATCTTCTCTGAGCAACCTGCGAGCGCACACCCCGGCACCTATTGCGGTTGCGCCAAAAGAGAAGAATAGTTCGGCACCTCCATCACCACTGTTCATCAAACCGCCGACACCACCTAAGCGAAGACCATCCAATCTGAGCCTGACGATATCGACACCCGGCAGCACAGACAACAAGCCAGTACGACTCCTCATACCTTCAACCCCATCCTTCAACCGCCCGCCCCTCCGTCACTTCCAGTCATCCCCTTCCTTGCCGTTATGTTCACCAAGCGTAAACCCGTTCGGTGGTATGCAGTTGCCTCCGCGTCCTGTTGTGAACAAACCAACTGGTCTCGCAGAAGTCCCCTTTGAAATGGAAGAAGAGGAGGACCAGGAGCCAAACTTTGACGTCCCCCAATCACGCGAGGAAAAGCCAGCAGCATACCCCAACGGTCCCATCTGCATATACGAGGCCGGTGTATATCTCTACTTTGAGCCCACAGCTGTACAGGCTACGACTTTCGATGTCATTATCAACGTTGCAAGTGAAGTCAAAAATCCTTTCACTGCACCATCGGGAGAATCACAAAAGGACATCGATGCCAGACGCGTGGATGGCCCACCGGCGGAGAACATTGACTTTGCTACCCTTTCGCAGAGACCAAAGCAATCCTTTGGCATGGGCGATAACTCTCCAACGACACCCAAAGCCACGGCACCAGTCATGCAGACAATACAGCCACGAGAGGTTGTCATTGACGGCAAGACATACAAAACACCAGAGTACATCCATATGCCATGGGAGCATAACACCGATATCGTGCCTGACCTCCACAAGCTCGTGCGAATGATTGACGAGCGGGTACAGCAAGGGAAACGCGTACTCATTCATTGTCAGTGTGGTGTCAGTCGTTCTGCCAGTTTGATTGTCGCCTATGGTCTGTACAAAGATCCTCAAATGAGCGTGCAAGAAGCATACGACAAGGCGAAGAAGCGAAGCAAGTGGATTGGGCCCAACATGAACCTTATCATGCAGCTTCAAGAATTCCGCAACAGCTTGCTGAGGCAGAACGAGAGCCGCTCGTATCACAATCAGGGCTATGGTCGACGATCTGCTGGTCTTCCTTCAGGATCGAACAAGTACTCTTCGTATGATCGAGACGGTGGCTCAGGATCACGTACTCCGCGCACGGCACCGCTTCCTCCTGATTGCGACATGACCATGCAACGTGCTAGCACTGGAAACATGATTGCAATTTCTCCAGGTCCACTGTCTGCACCCACTGGTGCTTTCTCACCCGGTTTCCGCAGATCATGGGATTCTAGCCCATTGCATTTCGAACTCACATCTCAGCCGGCCCCGACCACCACACCATACGTCGATCCCAAGGGCCAAGTAGTCCCTATGGTCTCGGTGACTAGCAATGATGTGCCGATCATACATACTGAAGATATCTCCAGTGGCGAAGCACAACCACAGTCACCCGACGATGTCCAACCCCCCTCATTCCCCAACTTTTCCCGTCAACTTCGATTACGACCCAACCTTGGCATCGACGAGGGTGCCTCATCTAGAACGGAAGAAAGGCTTTTGGCTCCTATGCAACCATCTAGCTTTGAACCCTTGAGGTCTCCTGCTGTCGCAAGTTTCAACATACCTACTTTCCCATCTTACGATACAGCAGACTCCGGGATCATGTCTCCAATCAAAACATCATTTGACAACTCTTGGCCAGCAGGCTATGATCTGGATAACGAGGAACCTGATTCTGCTCCACAGGCAATGGATGGCGTAATCCCAGGAATTTCACCACGCAGCTCCAAGCTTGACATGTCTAAAGCTATGCAGGACGATGCCAATAAATCTTACGGTCCCTTGTCATCACATGGTAATTCATTCCATCTTGGTCAACCGGCACCTTTCAAGGACCACTACGACAATGACGACGCAAAATCTGCAGAAATCGCTTCCCCAGTGAAGACTCAGTTCTCCGATGATGTCTTTACTAGCACTAACGATCGTTTGGAGGAAGAGTCAAAGTCACCACGTGCTACCGAATTCCACATGACTCCGTTGAAGCCCAGGTTAGGAGACGAGGATCCCTTTGGCTTGACTTCACCAACTAGAGCGGATTTCAATCCTTTCGATAGGCCGAGCAGTATTGCCACTATCAAAGCCCTTGAAACGGAAGATCGGAGACCCTCATTCCAGGCCATCCTACCGCCTGCCCATCAAACTTTTAATGGCTTCGCATCCCTGGATGGTACAGCACAAACGAATACTATTTTCGAATCTTCAGTCCCGCTGAATATGTCCGCATCGAAGCAATTCCAGTTGGCCGGACCTCGAGTAGACAGTCACAGCAATTCACCGGCGAAGCAAGTTCTAAACCGCGGCGGTGCGCATACAACGACCCCATTTGCGCTTCCTAAAGCACCAGCCACCCCTCGGACCCCGAGCGAAACCTTCCTCTCTACTCCCGGAAAAGCCATTCGAACAAGGTTTTCATCTCCAAACATGAACGAGCAACGGAAATTACAGAAGCTGCAAACCGAGATTGAATCGAAACTGCCAAGGGCAGCGGTTCCTCGACATGCTGCAGACGACATTGACGCTCTCATGTCACCCCGCGCAGAAGAATTCACTAGGAACCCCTTCCGCTTTGAACTGCAGAGCCCTGGTGAAGACGCAAGCCCGGTTTCATCAAACGGGACGATCAAGGATGGCCGAAACGGCCATACTGCATGGGAAGACCCGATGCCGCGGCACTGGACGCCTGAGAAGGCCACTGCCGATCCCCGAAGTCCTGTACAGACTGGGGTCAGCCCAATTGTCCGCAACATTTGGGATGTGCTATGAGGAAAAGCGGAGACATTTCGAGAGCCTAGACCTGGATTCGTAAAGTGAAGTTCCAGTTCAATGACTCGCTACGGATGTTCGGGAAGTATACCCGATATCAAGGCTCAGTTACCCCGACCGCCAGGCCAGAAATTGCGACGCCACCAACACTGAGCGTTTGAACTTTGGATGGCCTCAAATCGCATCAGCTCGTCTTGCAATTTGACAACATTTGTAAGACGTTTTGTTTGGATCGACAGCCCCGACAAGTACCATCAAGACAGTACCGACCTCTTTCTTCTTTTTGCGGTCAACTTTTCTTTGTGTCAAGACTCTGTTTCTCTTTACAAGCCCGTCTTTCCAAAAACGGCTTCAACCATTTGTGCCTTGTGGGGGACTAATGCGCGTTGAGTTACGCAAACAAAA